TATACCATCACGTTGTTGACAAATTACCAAATTTTGATCTTTATATGTTAATGCAGGTCTAACAAATCGCATCCAGTTTGAAGCATCTGCATTATTAATAAGATATATTTTAAATTATTTTTAAATATTTTTAATTTATTAGATTTTATTTTCAATATATGAACACTTACTTTCATTTGATACATCTACTTTTAAAAATTCTTTATTTTCAGTTTCATAGAGCAATGGCAATTCATTTTTAAATGGTGTACCATCATAAGGATATAAGATACCCTCTATAGGTCCAAATTGAGTACGTTTTTGTATATAACGTTTTGCAAACACTCCATAATCTGATCCACCCAATACAATGTCAGAATTAGGTAATTTGTTTATAGAAAGATATGATCCTGGCAGTGTTGCTATAGCACGTGATGGTACTGGTTGATCTGCTATTGTACATACATTATGTGAAGTACAATTGTCACCAGTACATACATCATCACATTCATTACAACCTATAATAAATTTAGATTTAATATATTATTATGATTAAATAAGACAGTAAAATTACGTACAAATATTTTTTTTATCATTTATACGACGTTTTGAACGTCTGACATGTTTTTTTTCACAATCTTTTTTGTCTTCAGTAGACATTAAAATTTCATTAATTTCTTGTTCATTGGTTGTAGCTAAGGGATCTATATTATTTTCTTTGTTTGAATTTTGTGCTGTTGATGAAAGATGCGTAGAATCATCTACATCAAGATTCTGTGTCTTAAATGAATTTATAACATTCATTTGATCATCTTGCATGACAAGAAAATCTCTACTTAATGTAAAATCTGTACTTGGTATTCCTGTTAGCATCAATGGAGCTGTAGCTGATTCTAATCCAGAATTAGATTCTATGAATATGTATAATATATTCAATTTTAAAAACATAATTTTATTTAACAAGTACATTTATGAAACTTACCTTGCATAAGAATCAATTCATTACTAACACTAGACATCAATTGCTCTTCATTTTCATTGGCAAAGTCAGTAGAACTATCAGATTGTTGTACATTTTGTGTGTCAACTGGATGAGTCAATTGAGAAACATAATTAATATTTACTCTTTCATTTGATTCAGATGAAGATATTAAAGAAGAAGAAGAACCTTGCAATACAACAACAGAATTATGAAAAGGAGATGGTGGAAGTTGTACTGGAGTAGGTGAATATCTAGCAGCTGAACTCATATTAGGATCAAGAGGACTAACACGGTGTTTAAAATCAGAAAGTGGAGATGAAGCTCTAGGAGAAAATGAAACTTGTTCATACGTTGGAAATAACGAGAATATTCTCGTGATGGATCTTCCACATATTCCACCTAATAAAAAAGTAATTTCAGACATCATAAATTGTATATCATTTCTCAAAGTGTAGCCTTCAGAATTTACTTACAGTTAAAAATAATAATTTATTATTATTCATTTTTTTTTGTTCACACATTGATATAGAAACAGACTCTGTAGGCCAATTGTCAGATATAGATATCTCAAAAGAGTTAACAGGGGCCCCCTCAGGAGGGCCCCTTAGATCCATTTTACTTTGTGTTCTATACCAGAAATATTATAATACCTGAAATCTGTTAAAAACATGTTTTAAAACTAGAAAAAGATCTGTTTCAGAAGAATAAAATGAAAGATATTCTATTTGTTTAATCATATAATAGGAAGATATATTGTAAGATATTAGGATCATTGAATCGTATGATAACATCTATGACAGAGTAAAATTAAAAATATAATGCTTTTGCATTTTATAAAATAGAAAACTTACCATTTTTAATAGGCAAGTTTTCGAAGTCTATGCACTTTTTGTCTTGTGATGCACCTGCTGCAGTTCACTAGTTCGTCAACAATCGACATTATGCATTTTTATAATGTAGATTGAGAACCACTGAAATGGCGGGAAATTTTCGAATTGATAGACAATATTATCAACATATAATTTAAAAAATATATATATTTATAGAATAATAATTTTAAAAATTTCTAATTAATTAATTGATTAATTCTAATTTTTTTATTCAAAACAAATACAAACTAATATGAACATTTTTAATTGATTTATCAATGTTTAATTTAATTTGTTTACTTAAAAATGAAAGATTTTGAGAAATTTTTAAAAATAGAAAACAATAATATATAATATAAATATATTTTTAGTTAATTCAAGATAAAGTCGATAGTGTTTCGTCACCTAGCACAACTTTCTCAAATACTCAACTTGTCCCTTAATTTGTGAATGAAGAGGGAGCTTACGCGTGCGTGTATAGGGAATACCTTTTATAAATTTGCTTAACAACGAAACAAAATGATATCAACAAAGACTTGGAATGCCATCTTGACATTTATGCATTAAATGTAAGAAGATCACTGTGAATATTACTTGTATATAATAATAAAAAGTCATGATACAGATGAATGAAGTGACGAATCTAATGGATCGGTTGATGAAAGTGAATATTTTTCATCCATCGGAAAAACTTCGAATGTTGAAAGACGAAGAAAAAACATTTCTCGATCCAAATATAATAATGAACGAAAGACATCGAATATTGCAAGAAAAATCCAATTCACCATTCAATGGCTCTGTTTTGAAAGAAGCTAAAAAGTATGATATATGATTAAAATATAAATAATATAAATAAAATATTATAAAAATTAATTTCAAAATGTTATTTTTTTAGATTGTTAATAGAAGAAGAGATACAACAATTACATATAAAGAAACAACAACGAGTTTTAGAGAGGGAATTGAAGAAATTTGAAATGGAATTAAGTAAATCTCGACCAAAATTCTCGAATTATACATGTTGTACAAAAAGAAACTTTGTATCCTCGGATGATGAAGATTTTTGGAAGACAGCCAGAAAATTAAAAAACAAGGTTGATATAATTTTCAATAAAATTTTAATAACTATATATATATATATATACATTATTTTTTTACAAAAATAATTAAAATTTTTTCTAGATAATCATTGAAGAGAAAAGAGATCAAATCAATGGTTCTAATGAAAGTACGGATGTTCCGATAACAGAAATCAACGATTCTTTGTTAGAAATAAAAGATCAAAAAAATCAATCTGCCGGAAAGATAAAAATAACAATTAAAGATAAAATTAATTTTAAAATAGAGACACAACGTTTATTTCTTCTAAAGAAATATTTCGATATTTTAAAATGTAATGTCGTGGAAGAAAAACGTTTTCGCGATATCAAGACGAAAATTGAGGAAAATATGGTATCGAAAATAAAGAGAAAATATTTCGATATTTGGAGAACGCATACGAAAGATGCGAAAATCAATGGTCAGAAGCAAAAAGAAGAAGAAGAGATTTTTGAAAAGCAAAAAATCGAAATGTTTATAAATAAAATTATGGAAAGTCAAAATGCAATTATGGGAAATCAAAAAATAAAAATTAGCGATAATAATTTAATGATAAAAGAATCCAATAGTGCAAATAAGAAGAAGAAAAACACTTATTATAAACATATAATTGTCGAGTCACCGGCACAATATCGGTTAAATGCTCAAAAACAAATAATAGAAAAGCAAAAAGCCAAACTGGCTGAACAAAACAGGATAATCGAAGAATTAAAATTGAAACAGATGCAGAAGGAAATATCTAATGCGAACAAGGAGACAATTGATATAGCTAAACAGACTTTCTCTAATTGTGGGCATAATACAAGAAGGACATTGATTCAATTAATGCAACAAAACGGCTACAGGTAATATCGATTTTTAAGACAATTTAGAATTTACATTGATAAAGAGATTTATAATAGATTATGTAAATCCTCCTGAAAGAGACGAAAGTTTAATGGTACCCCGAAAACGAATGAATCCACCGATATTTCTATTAAGAATGGAAGCGCGAGCAGAAGAAAGACGAAAAAGAATAAAATTGGCTGCGGAAATCCGTAAACAGAAACTTGAAGAACAAAAAAGAATGGAAGAAGCTTCTAGATTAGAAGAAGAACAGAAGAAGAAAAGATTACAACAAGAGGTCAGACTACAGAGAATTTAAATTATTAAATATGTATATATGTATAAATGTTATATTAAATATTACAGAAATAAATTCAATTCGTAAATTATGTATATACCTCATAAATATATATGCTTTTATAGTATATATTATGTATTCGATTCGATATGCTTTCTTAAAATAATGATGGTTATTTTTTAACAGGCTTTAGCCGAGGCAAAAAGATTACAAAAAGAGCAAGAACAAAATCGACAACGAGAAATAGAAAAATTTCAAAAATTAAACAATGTAGCGGATGAATTCTATCGACAATACCTTCTACGACATTATATAATGAAACCTTTCGTAATACTTATTGAAGAATTACGAGGTAATATTAAAAAAGCGGAAGATCATTATAGAGAAAAATTGACAAAAAAAATTTTTACAACATGGAAAAAAGAAATAGAAAATCAATATAAAATAAAGATTGATACTGTTAAATCAATTTATAATACGAAATTAATTTTAAGAATATTTAGGGAATGGAAACAAGAAGTTAGGGAATTAAAATTGAAGTATCAAGTTGCAATAGACTTTTATGATATGAAACTTTTAGATAACTTTTTTAAATTATGGCAAATAATAACAATTGAACTTAAAACAAAAACTGAAATAAAAGAAAAATTAATTATCAATATTTATGAAAATAAATTAAAAATCAAATATTTCAATACATGGAAAAAATATCTCACAATCGCTACAAACATTAAAGAAAGTGAAAAGAGGAAAGATGAATTGCGACAATTAGTATTAAAAGTAATTCCTGATTTTGATCCTAAACAAAGAGGTGTAATATCGGAAGATTAAAGTTAGTTCATGACATTAAATTAAAATACAAAGATTGCATTGCATAATAGTATGTTTAAGTTTATATAACACAAACATTATTATCCATTTATATTTTGTATAGAAAAAAGTGTAAACATTTATATCATACTTAATTTATGTTCAAAATCTTATATTACACATAATTAATATAATTTATATATTGCATTAGTTAAGTACAATGGCCATTTTATCACAGTTATAATAAATATACAAATGATGCGCGTAATAGCAAAATAAAAATAATTAAAACTATAATATAATAATATAATTGAGATCAGCGCTTTTATATCGTGATATGTTTTTATTAAGTTTAATATCATGAGCAATAGTTTAAAAATATTTAATTAATATAAGATAAAGACAAGGCTGAGTATTGAAGTATGTTAAAGTCGAAATTAATATGAATATGTATTTTCTGTTTTCACATACCACTATGCCTGTCTGGTGATCTTATTATTTCAATTTTTCTAATATCTTTAGCATTTAATGAAAAGTATCACCTTCCAAAGTAACTTTTTTAATTTAGTATATATTTAATATCTAAGTTTTGCAGCAAAATAAACGAGATACATTTTTCAACATTCCATGGTCGTATGGACTTCCAGCTTCCAGAAGACGTCGCTCATTCGATGTTGTACCAAGGTAGATTAACCAAAGATGATATATTAAATAACAAACTACCACTAATCCAACAAGTAGGCTGTAGAGTGCCGAAATGAAGCAAAGGGCAATGCTGGAACAATATGCATATTATTATACTTTGATTGGATGTTGAAAACAAACAGTTGCAAGACATGTTATCTATTCAACTTTTATATTCTTGGAAAGCAAATAAGAGATATTACAATATTTATGACATTAATACAAATCTCAGCAATTATTAATATCTTATGATTATTAAAGTTTGCATTGTAAATCCTTAGTATCTTTCCAGTTTAGTTTTAAGTTTTAATAATGAAAAGAATATTATATTTCTCAGTATAAATTTATACTACTGATAACAATTGTATAACGATTTCAAGATTACATATAATCTACTAATATATTACTACTATCTAATAATATATATTAATATTGAATGTTTTCCAAGTTATACATACTCTAATTGATAATATACATCACTACAATCATCTGGCAAAAGAACAGTGCCAATAAGTATAAATGGATGGCATACACTAGTCATGGTTAAATTCGAACCATAAATAAAAGCTATGGCTGAGAAGAATAAACATCCCAAGTACCATTTTAAATTGCTTGAACCTATACAGCAATCCAACCTAAAATATGAGATTAAGTAAGATAAAATCTATTTTATAGAAAAAGAAATCTATTACCATTTACAATGATATTCTCTATTCAAAATACATGTCTGACACATTCGACAATGATGCGCTTTAGGAGGTGCTCTTCTTCTACATGTAATACAAAGTTCTCCGCTTCCTTCACCTAATTCTAATCCTTGGGTTAAAGTAGCTTCTTGAGTTGCAGAATCTGCATTTAATCTAGTCATGTAGCCGCACCATATACCACCCACTACACACATTATGAACACTAGATTCTCTTCTAGCAAGATCTCTAATAACGGTACAACACTAATTTCAAAGATTAACATTAACATGATTACACTTGTAATAGTCCACATTAGAAAAAATTTAGTACGAAGTAAAAATCTCAGAAAATTGTGATGTAAATAATATACTAATATCGGTGTTGCGACAAATATAATTACAGTACATAATACTGTTTGTGCGGCTATTACTGCCAATGTTGGGACTGCAAATATCGGTATCATTGCATCGACTGAAATTTGTTTAGCTCCAGCTCTCCAACCACAAGGATTTCGCAATCTTTCCCATACAGTCATTTTTATATTAATAATTATATCGAAAGAATATACGTTTACACTTGCATAAAAAGTTAATGATAGAATACCAAAATGAAGGTTAGAAATGCTTCATGGCATGTCGATATTCCTTAAACAATGTGAAATTAATTACGATTATTGAAAATATTGCGCGCGAGAACATATAATAACACTTTTTAAAACAATTAATATAATTAAATCAATGGTTTTTATATAAAAGTTAAAATTTTTAAAGATCTTTGCTTGAAAATCTTCATTCAATAAAAGCCCATTGTTTCGACACAAATCAATATATAGTTCTCTTTCAATTTAAGTTTTCTGTCCAAATAAGAGATGAATCACATTATTTAAAGGTGCAATGAAATAAAATATATCTTCCAAATTCTGTTGTTTTTTCATACTATGCATCTTTATTTTTAAATAATAATGTTATGAAATATGTTGTGCATTTGACAATATTTTGAAAATGGCGCAAAAATCATAAAGAGGGCTAGGATAACAGTGTCATTTCCAGTGTAAAATAGCGGTTGTCATATGTGGTTCGTACGATGTAAAAGAACAATGATATCAATATTATATTCCAATAATTGAAAATTGTGACCAATTTTAAAAAGATATTTTTACGGACTCCATTCATTCAACTCAGGTAACAAATATTTTATAAACAACTAAAATAACCATTGGTTACTTCTGTCAAAGGCATTGCCATCTTGTTCTACGTTTTTGTTATTCTCTTGTATGATATTTGCTATAATTTCTTCGCGCATGAAATTACAACTATGAGATGTATGGCGGGAATATGACGCAAATTGAAAATTGGAAAACAGTCAACTTGAATAGAAAAAAATTCGAATATCTTACATTATCACAACTATATATAAAAAACGTTGAAGGTCGAGTCTTATCTTAGTTTAGTGTTTGTTGATTGACATTTATTAACACTCTTTTAGAAATTACAGAGAAAAATAATGATTATTATTAAAACGTGATTATTAAAACGTTGAGTGAAAAATCTAAAAAATTAATGAATATAACTATAGTCGTTGTAAAATTAATTATTAATTATTTATAGAAATGAAATATAATAGTCATCGTTTAAGAAATTTATTTTAAAAGTAATTTTTTAATCAAGACATGAATACAAAAGTCAAGGCAAAAATAATAAATAGGCTTACTTTATGTATGTTGATTGTACAAAATATATATCGACGAGGTTACCACGAGACATGTAAACATTTAAATGAACACTATTATACATTACCATTAACGATCAATCTTCTATCAAATTTGTTTTATCAATTTGCAAAATAATTTTTTGAAAATTTGCAATCACTTTAAAAAAAAATAACAAAAACGATTATCTTTATCTCTAATATTTAACATTATATTATTATATAATCTATTTCTTTTTTTCACTGACACACACGGAACAAATATCGATTGGTTTTTCGCGAAGAAGAAGACTGGGATGAACATACATACTATTATCGCACAATCAAGACGAGGCTAATTAAAGAACAGTGGGGTAGAACTCTATTAAGATAATCATGCAGAACAATAAAGACTCGTTTATACGAGTCAAAGATTGATCGACAATTACGACTAATACGCTGTCTATTGAAATTGTTTTCAATTGTTTACACGTGTTCGTATTGTTTTATCAAATTATTTATATTTTATCATTATTTGCCATTTTACGATATTTTCTGGGAGTTTTTAATATATATTAAACGAAGAAGAAGAAATAACTCGATAGTCATTATAATGTATTTATTGTAAAAATATTATTATAAAGATAGTTATTTGGTTATTCGATGTAAACGTATATATTTTATTATTCGTATATGGTGCATGAAATTTCAATATTTGAAAATATTACATCGCTTTTTTATATTAATATTTTGCAGAATATTACATATAATATCTAGAGTTTTTTATATATATTTTTTTCTTTATTCTATAGAAACAAGGATAATTATGTTTTAGTAAAAAAATGCAACATTTATTAATTCAATATGTGATTAACTGATGACATGTTTACAATCGAGAAACGAAGAAGAATACGTTATCTTGTTTAATATTTTTCACTTTCTTTGAGATCTACTCTTTTATCTCAAAACATAGAAGGAGGATTATAAGTTTTCCGTGAAGAAAGAAGACGATTGCAGATCTCCGATATACATAAGACTCGTGTTTAGCTTCGTTCCTATGTCTTGTGATTCTGGACAATTATAGATTTATTAAATTCATAAATTATATTAAATTTAAAGATAATTATGGAATTAGCTAAGTATTAGTGGAGTAGCATTATAATCGAAATTCATGTTCATTTAATTAATGTTTTAATTATATCTATCAATGAAAATTTGGGATTGATAATTTTTTAATGCATTTGTTTTTGAACAATGCATAATATCGATGAAAAAATATAAACGCGTGTGATTCGATTTCATGTAACTAAAATTATCTATCAATTGAAACAGGAACCTACTTAAATAGAAAAAGAATTTGACTTTTTTAATACAAAATGTTTTAAAAAAGTCAATTTTTATTAGCTGAATTTAAGGATTGTTCAAAAAACTCATAGAATTACATATATAAAAAATTCGTGTTTCAATTTTTTTCCAGATCGATGATGCTCTCTTCAAATGGATGGTAATCTCTTTCCTAATATATTTGTTCCAATGACGTTTCCATTGTTCAAAGAAATGTTGGAAATCTTTTTGTAAAATTCTGTTAGGACTCTGATCGTTTGACGTTTTGTGGTTTCAATGTTATCCAGATATTCTTTTCATCCATTTGTAATTAATCGTTGATTTCATAGTATTATCTTCTAATACACTTCTTTTAATCATGTCAATCACTTCAATTCCTTTTTTCACGAGAAATTTTTTAATTGATACATTGCTCTTTAAAAAGATGACAAAAAATATATTTCAAGAAATGTGACTCTTGAAAAAGATAAGGGCATATTAAAGATACTGTAAGTAAGCGAACGATTTATCATAGACTTACGAAATTTTATCTATTTTTGTTAGGATTACAAGTTACATTTCTCACTTGATTAAATCGCTATTGAGATGAGAATAAAAAAATCTTTTTTATAAATTTTTTGAACAGAGCAGTATATATGATTTTTAAACGATCGTATAAACGATTCACGTTATGTGAAAACATCAATTATATTATTAATTTCGAGATTATACTTTGTTTCCATTCACGTGCCATTCCATTTACGTTCTAAACTCGAAAGTAAAATTGCAAACAGCGTAAGATCAATGACCAATACAACCACTTTTGCTCGTAGTGAAAAATCATAATATTAAAAAGAACTGGTGAATCATCGTTACTGGAATGATAGTTGATCAGTTGAAGAGGTCGTGATCCTTGGTGGTAGCTCGATGGTGGTCTAACACGAGTACGTTTCCGATCATTTGCTTAGAAGATAGGAAGAAGAGCAATAGCCGCGGGAGTATCGCAGTCGTCTCGTTTCTGCTGGATCGATCGATTGATCGGAGCCAACTCGTGAAGAAAATCGAAGGAAAAAGGGATCGAGAATCGCTTCTGTCCGTTTTGGAAGTTTAACAACGAATCGTGTGATACGGTCGAGATCAAGTGATAACGTCGTGCGACGACACGAAAAAGGAAATTGTGCGTGTTGATAAGAAAGAGTGGATGTTGGTGAAATCCGAATTCTGTGCTATTGTGCTGACGAGTAACGGCGAGTTACCGTATTTCAATGGTAGCGGCGATGATGGCGTTAGTGGTAGTGATGATGGTGATCATGGTGGTAGTGGTGACAACGGCGTCGATGATGATACACAACTCAAGTCTATGAATTGAGGATTACCATTCTCTCCCTTGGTTCGTGGATTAAGAAGCTTTCAGGCTTCCCGCTGAAGGCTGGAGAAACTGGTCGGTCTGTCGTGGATTTGTGGGGATGTTATGTAAGCCATAGTTGATCGACACGAACGCATACAGAGATCATTTACATAGATGCAAATATGCGGGGAGAAGCCGTGATGCACTACTATTACACGCGAGGTGTTCAAAGTCGCATGGATTTAACGACAGAATATTCAGTGGCGAGAGTCGGGACGCGTGAAACACAATCGAGCTTGATTAAATCAAATACGCGCGCAAATAATATTTCTTTGGCCGAGCATCGAAACGTATAATAAAGTTTCGATTTTTCAGGTGATCGGGTTACGTGTTCCAACAGTGGTCCTCGAAGGCTACCCGAGGAGGATACCTTTTATCCATGGTTCAGCTTCGACGAGCTTATGAGCCATGAAGAAGATACGCGGTTGAGAACCGAAGACCGGGAAGAAGACGACGAGAAAGAGTTTGAAGAACGTCCAGTAATGTCTTCGGTTTCGATTAACAAACTTCAGATTTTGTGGGATCATTTTATACATGCAGAACCGCAAAGCTACGAGGTACATTATCTCTGAAGGAATTTCTGTCGTTGATTCGAACGTTTACATTTTCTTTTTTTTTTTTTTCGTTCATATTTCGCAATGTACTTTCAATTGTCAATTGAAATTTCAGTCAATTAAAATTGTTGTAGAAATGAGAAGTTGGATAAATCGATTATCGCGTCAAAGAAAAAGAAGATTTTATTAAGCGTTAGATAAACGATTTTACCTTGACGTTTATCCTTTCTCTTTAAGAATCTAATTAATCTATTCAAAGCGTTTAATCAGCGTTTGATTATTTTTATTCAAATGTAGTCGCATCAACTCATTCTTAACCAGTAAGCAAGATTTTGTAATTATTGTCAGTTATTTGTCTTCGAAAAAAATGTTAAACTTCTTATGGGTACGTGTCAAGATGACTTACAAGTCAAGCTTATTCGTCTATGCTTTACTACAAATAATCGAAATGACGAGCAATTTTCTGTGTGTATTGTATAACGTAAACACTTTTCTATTCTCTTTCTTATTATATTTATTAGAATAAGTAATAAGAAAATTTGCACGGATTATATTATCTAAATTCGTAAGCTAATAATTACTTGCTTCCGATTAAAATCACCGATTACAAATGTTTGTTTAAATATAAACTAAAAATGATATAACATTTTCTTTTTACTAATTATGTAATTTGATAGAATTTGAATTACACATATTTTTATTTTCATCTTCATATCTCTTTCGGATAAAACGTAATCTATAATCTGACAAAATTGACACAAAAATTCTTTGCAATCAACACCCAACGAAATACTTACGTTTGTTTCCGTCATGTGAATCATCTATTTACGTATTGGACAAATATGATATACGATACGACGATGACAAGAGTAAAAGAAATGTATTTATATACTTATAAAGAATTATGTTATAATATAAAATCATTATAACATAATTTACATGAAATAAAATTATGTAATAGTCTTGGATAGTTTGAATCTCGTTATATTTTTAGTTACAATATCTATCGAATTGATTAGTTTATCACATACATGTTCTATAATCAGCGTGTATTTCGAAAATTAAGTCTATTCTTTTTTTTTTTTTTTTATTATTAAATTTATCATTTACCACTTCCTCGTCGTGCTAATATTTTTCGTCGTAATCAAATTATTATCATATTATCAAATTTAGAAATTACCAAAGGAATATTACATTTTTTTATATCTATTTAAATTGTAATAATTATCATTTAACGTTTACATAATTTTTTTAATAACTTTTTTAATAAGTATTTTCTTTCTGTTTAGAAATCATGCTGGCTGGACATATTTCTTGCAGAATTTCTTGCTCAAATAAAAGAAGGCCGAGAAGTGAAAGATGCCCTATCGTTTTGGTAAGATTAAATCCGTATGATATAATAAAATGATAACCCGACTAGTCTCGATATCGTATCGTTTAAATAAAATATTAGTAATCGTCGAAATAACAGTTATGTAATTTTTTTTTTTTTAAGATACATAATCATAATAATACACACGCAGTAATACACACATAGCAGTAAATAGTAATTATAAACGTGATATATAACGTGATATATAAAATTATATCGTTATTAAGTTTAAGGAAATGGGGATATAGGTGGATAGATATTTGTCGAGAAAGTAAACGAAAAAAAGTTGAGAACGTAACACGTGACTCTGTGACAAGATAGCGATCGTTAACCGCAGTAAATCTGGTCTCGTATTTGTGGTTTAACGTGATTTTTCATTTTTATGTAAGTTAGATTTATAAACGAGCGTCTGATCATACATTCGCTATGAGATTATATTATAATCGGGAAACAATTTTATTTTAAATGGGATAATTAAATAACTAGATATAATATTGAAAAAGAAAAAAACTTTACCAATATTTTACTTATTTTCTCAATACTCAAAAATTTTAATCCATTTAAAATCTTCTTTTCCAAATATCGTGTTTCTTTACTGAAAGTAAAATTATAAAACCTAGTAAATATACTGTGAACGATGATAATATAGAATTTACCTAATTCGAACGATAAGATAGATATGTAAAAAAAAAAAATGTGATGATGGAATTATTGATTCCAGCTCCGTCGGCGGTGGTGGCGTATCTACCCTCATAGCTTGCGAGCTGCTCTCCGATGTTCACGAACTTTGCGCAAAAAGGATCGACGGGGACGAACTTGTCAGACTGAGAAAGTATTTGGCGCAAGATCGTGGCTGGCGTTGTTTAGCCACTCTACACTTACTCGGTGTACGCGGGCTTTCCTGCGGACGGGAATTCGTAGCTCTGCTCATCGCTTTGTATCCGGTTGTCCTGCAAGAGGAGACAAAGCGTAACAAAGATGATTCCGTTTCATCGAACGGATCCGTCTATTCCTCCTCCTACACCACGATTCCCCCCACGCGCAATCCTTACGTAAAATTCTATCCGGACGACAACACCGTCGATACGATAGATATCGTGTCGCACGTGAAACGCAAAGCGACGAGATCGAATCGAAGCAGCATCTTTTACGAGGGCAATGCGTCGTCGAGGAGGAAGGCGAGTCGTAGGTACAGCAGCATCGGTACCAAACTGTCAGCCCATCACAAGCAAAAATCGTCTTACGGTATGTCGTACGAATCGCGTCGTAACACGACCGAAAGCGGAAGCAGCGAATCCGAATTTGTGACGGATGGTATAGATCCAGCGCGATCGCTCACATTGAAGATCCGCCTGAATCCTATGGATTTCGAGTACTTCACTTCCGTCGTCAGAAGCGACGAGGAACAGAAATGGCAGACGGCGCTTTACGAACTTCCCTCCCGGCCAGCGAAGAAAACTCCAAGAGATTACGTAGACGAGCGGATCGAAGATGTTCTAGATTCGAGGATCAGCAATTTCGAGACGAGCCTTTTGATCATTCAATTACTTCAAGGATTGCGCGACTACGATACTCCAGCCGAGCAAACGCCGGCCATACAAGTTCTAAAGTTTGCCTTGGACACATTGTGGTCCCTGCAATTCGGTATAGATGGCGGCGGGTTGACCGGAACCGAGTGCGCGACGTTAAAAGCTTCTGCCGCCAGGCTTATGCTTACGGCATTGGAACGCGTGTTAAGAGCGAACGAACCAACCACTGCTGTCATTCATAACGGTTTGTTGCCCATGACGTTGAGATTGCTCGAGGACGCTTGCAGCAAGCCGGTGAACGTGCTTTCGCCCGAGGAGGGCTCGCTTCTTCAAGAATTCATTTTCGCCATTATCTACGGAGTAATAACGTTTCTTTATTGTTTGCTACATCAACAAGGTACGGCGATAGAGAAATTATCAGACTTTTTAGAACTGTTTCAACTGTTCACCGAGAGCCAGGAAGGAAGGCTGGTGGAGAGGACAATTTTTGCGATTCTTGATTTACCGAGCGTCGATCCATCGAGGTCAGTAACACGTGCTCGAAAAGTCATTGATATGATAGGTGCGTTAACGAGTAGTTTGAAATCCGTGCGACGTGATATTTCTCATGTAGCTAATTGCAACAGAGCAAAACACAAATCTTGCATCAATAACGTTCAGATTTATCACCATTCGGATATGTTTGGGGCGTCGTACGCTCAACCGATCGTCGGTACAGTTATGAAACAAGCATGTTGCATTTCCTCTCTTTTTATGATACTCGCTAATCTTCTTAAACACTCTCACCCCCTCATCACCGAGTTACAAGTTAGATTGATTAAAGTTTTTACCGCGGCAGGCACCTGTTGCTGTTTCCCACCCAGCATACTCATGATTAGTATCGCGACTTTTTTGAAGAAACGTGATCCGCCAACTTACGTTACAGCCGTGGCATTTTTAGAGCGTATCTTTTTCAAAGAGCTCGGTGGGTATGCAGAATCGGAAGTGTGTACCGTCTGTGACAGGCCCTCGACATATTCTTGGGACTTTTTGGACATGTACACAGATTTGTTGACACCGGATGATCCAAAATTGTGCTACACCGTAATGGCGCATCTTTTAAAAATTGGCCCATGTTCCAAATTTCATATTAGGCGGGAATTACTCCTGAAAGTTTTCTATCCGATCTTCTTGAAAGCTAAGGCCTATTACACAGCCGACCAAGAAAATACGATCGCAAAGTTTCTCGTTCAATCTTGCCTCTGCGCGATGTCGTGCTTGATGGTAAACGCACAAATGTGCGAGGCATTCACCGAGATTAACGGATTGGAGGAAACATTGATCTTGCTGTCGGACACGACCTTCACGAGAAACGTTTACGCTCTCTTAGAAATCACCGTCATTGTAGAGATTTGGAAGACGAATTTTCCCGAATCCGATTCTTTGGATTATAATACCGAGAAATTCGCGCTTCGATCTCTGTTCAATTCTCTCGAGACAGAAACGAGTGAATTATTGTCTGTTTTTACAAATTCGATGGATACTCTGGTTGATGGCAAACACATCGTACAAGTGGCTCGATCAAATGTTCGGGATATTGAAGAAACAGGCACCATCGTAGCGCAAGAATCAAGCACATTCCAAGAACAGATTATAAAGAGAAAATCATCCAATACGATTTCCTGGGTTCCAAAAGTATTTGACAATCCTGAGATCGGTACTTCGTGCCAAGATCACGAAACAGACGCGATTAAGAAAATGAATCTATATCAGGCCAGCGTCGCGTGGAGAGCCGCAGCTGGAGTTGCACTTTGCAGCCCAAAATTTCGTGCTCAATTGTCGTCACACTCTGTCTCGCAAAAATCTTTGCAGCTTTTCATAATGCTAGCCGTACATATATCCACGGATAGTATCACAGGTACGTTTATAATAACGACAGATTAAGTAATAGTAAAATATAGTAAAAAAATATCAAGATTTACATTTATACGTTTTTCTCCTTTTAGATATTAACAAATCAGCTCACAGACTTTTCGAGGCTTTGCTCACGTGTTGTTTAACATCCCCGTCGTGTAAGTACTTTTATGCATATAACGAATGTGAATTATATTTATTGCGAATACGTTTCTGTCCTACGTACTTTTTCGCTGCGCACATCTGTGGATTAAAATCCCAATAAGCTGCATGAATTTATTCAGATAAAAACAGTTCGAAGAATGTTTGATACAAGCGAACATCTTTCACTTTCTGTTCTCAGTGAAGCTTAATTTTCTACGAATAATATTATTTTATATATATATATATATGTACATATATACATTCGATAGTGGCCATTTCATATAAAACAGTTTGTGATCGACACAGGTGATCGAGATATAATTATGGAATTGGGGAAAGCTCTGATGAACACGGGAATTAAATTAGGCCGTGGATTAACTATCATCGTGGAGGTATTATTGAAAGTTTCTATGTTAAAACCAGCACAAGAAGAGACTATACCTCAATATACTCGTCCTAGGGTAAATTTCGTTCTATTTCATTTTTTTTTTCCTCCCTTTCATTGATTTCTTTATTTACTTTGATATCAACTTTTGTTACAGTTACCGTCAATGACACTAGACTCAATGCCAGATTGTGTCGCCGATGATAGTAGTACAGGTGAATACGTGACTGCTGATGATGGTTATGAAGCAGATGTAGAAGTACCAGCGCAAAGCCTCCACAATAATACCGTAAAAAGAAGTAATTCCTTGGGACCGGTGATTGAACCCAGAGGCCATGCAAATGCTCATCCAGCATTATGTTTGTTGGCAGTTGATTTGTTAATTCATTTCAGTGAACAGTAAGTGTTTGATTATACGAAATAAGTTAACACACGAGTAATTAGATTATTATTATTATTATTATTATTATTATAAATGACTTCTTTTCAGAGGTTTGGATGTTGAAAGAGCATTCATTATAACTACTGGTTTACGAAAGGTTGCAGTCACATGTAGAGAAAGTGCCTCGAGTTGTGCCGCTCTTGCGGGTGCAGGAGTAATTACAAAAATGTTACATGGCTTTAAACATATATTTAATAGTAGAAATACTGAATATCAAGGTATTTTTAATATAAATTAATTTATATGCCTTCAATTTAAATCTTTATCTTTTTTTTATGGTATTATATAATAAAATGTTTTAGATCTGCAACATGCTGTACTAGAAGTGTTTACTTTGTTAGCAACACAATCGATTTCACCATCGGAACTAGTCATATATTTATCTTTATTCAAAGTTGATACGCCTCCGTTACTATCGTTGCTGGAACCACTTTTTCATTTAATTCTAGCTGCACGCCCGCAACCTAACTTCATCATATCTTTTCCTGTATCCTCTGATAGTAAAATGTTATTAAAAATTCAATCGGAAAAATATAAAAATTTAGAAAAGGTAGAAAATCTCGTAAATAATTTCCGAAAAAAACATTTTACATTGGGAATATGCAGTCCATGGTCTGTACATGCAACGTGTTTACCAATTGGCCCAGAATTAGCTTGGCCAGTTTGGTTACATGGTTGCTCTGTTTCAATGTGGTTGAGGGTTGAAAGAGGATTACCTGTTAGTGGCAAAGGAACATTGATTAGTACCTCACCGCTACTCGATTCAGACAATGAAAGTTTATCGGATTGGGGTATTCTATCTGACAATTGGAGTCGCGAAGGTTGGTAAAATTGTTTAATATTCATTAATAAATAAAGGGATATATTTTAATAGTTTCTATTTCAAATTTATCGTTGCAAATTATCAAAATCTTATTTCGATTATAATAAATCGTTACAAGTTTATCAATTAACTATATTAAATTTAGAAATAAGTTTATTATTTTTTTATCCAACGCATGCTCTACGAATTATCGTGGAAAGACCATTCGATGTCTGATCTTTTCTTGGGTACATCAGTCGTAGCAGGTTCATCATCTCCTCCTACACCAACATCGATTATTCATATGATGTCCATCGGATTTGAGTCTCTGGTGCTTGAAACATGGTTAGATCTTAGATCAGGTAATTTGACTTTTAATTTTTTCCTCTTATTTTTTTTTTTTTTTGTATATAATTATTATATTTAATTCTTTTTTTTTGTTGTATTCCAGACAAGTTAATTTTACGATTAACTCGACCGGATGACAAAACGAATCGAACTATCTCTGAAACATCTGTAACTGGTATGCTTCCTTCAGGTCAATGGCATCATTTAGCATTGAATTTTAAAGACACGGTTTTAAATAAACGTAGCGCGGTGGTCCAGGTTGTGCTTTGGGTAGATGGCTGGAGAGAAATCAATGCGCAATTACCATTTGACGGATTGTTAGTGAGAAAACCTGGAACTACATGCGTTCTATTAGGACAACTTGGATCTAGTACTATCGGTGCTTGGTATCTTGGAAATTTAATGGTATTCAGGTACGCATTTTTATCAAATAATAATTAAATTATCAATTGCTTGTCACCTTGTATACTTATTGCTAAAAATTTATTCGTAGGTGTCCAGTATTTACTAAAGAAAAAGCATTGTATCTGGCAAGTTTAGGACCTAATTACACTAATCTCGCGGAATGTATCTTAAACACAGATAAACCAGATTTTACATCATTAATTGTATCTGGCGCTTTAGATGGTGTTCGAGAAATAAAATTTGGTAAATATCATATCATCAATTTCGAATTGTTATTTTTATTTTAAAATAAATAAGTAAATATTTATGTTTAATATTTAACATAGAAGGAGGAAAATTTGATACAAATCGAAGAAAATCATATGGCGGAACTTATTTAAGACATGCTGTTGAAACTAAAGTATCAGAGACCAAAATTGATTGGGATTCAGTTATGGATGCTACGAATTCACATTTGGGTGAATTGCAAGATAATTTACTTCTTAATTACGAGGCTCAAAATCCTAACATCGTTCATTTATATCCTCAGGCTATCGCAAATCCAGCTGGTAAGTTTATTAACTTGTAAATTTTATTAACGTATTTATTAACGTTATTAATGTATTTATTAGTTTTTTATTAGTTTGTATAAATTATATTTATTTTCAGCTGTGGTAAGAAATCTATTTCCGGGTCAACCTGGTTTTAGGGTTGTTTCTGCACCGGAACATAGAGTGTCACAGCAACCACCTTTATCTGTGGCCCCGATACTTTCCGCTCGCTTAGAATGTCAACAATATCGAGGTCTTGTACCTGCTGCCATTTTAATAGGCGGTATACCTGTATTTTTATATTTGTTCGCAAGAGTAAGTACGTTTATCATTGAAAATTATAATTGTTTATAATCATTATTAAATGAATTTATTGCGTATAGGTAGTTGAATTAAATTCTAAAGAGGAAGAACAAGCATTAGCTCTTTCAATAATTCTACACTTAATACGAAATGATTCCGAATTTTTAAATCAGTATCGATCAGAAGGTGGAACGTCTTTAATCTTACGCATTTTAGAATCATCACGCTGTCACGCAGGTAGACATATTCTGAAAGCAATGTTAGATGCAGCTTGTGATAGTTCGATCCTAATAAAAGATATCGGCAGCGGTAATCATTTGGTCTCACAAAATTGCGAAGCTGTCATCACGGATCCCGAATTGATCAAAGGTGCATTGACCGCGTGGAGAATATGGGCCAAACATGATACATTAAACTTGCTATTGCAGGCATTGTTATTATTATTAAAAGATCAACATTCACAACGTGAATTTAATGCATCTCAATTAAATAGGATTGGAGTCGTTGATACTGTTTTAACATTATGCAAGGTAATCTTATACTTTTTGCAAATATTATGTTTTATAAAATATATATAAAGAATTGAATAAAAATATGTAATTTTTATTATAGGAGCATTTTATGTATGAAGAATTGGGTGCTACGCTTGATTCTTCAACTGGAACTGCAGTGGTTGAATTGGTTAGAGCACTTATGGGAGCACCTCCAGAATTTGCTCATTTAGTAGCTATTACTGATTATTTAATTCTGGTTCATCAAGCATCCGAAACTTATATCACACACTCGAGACACAATATATATTTTTTATTACCTCCTATAGGGGAAAAGAAAGTTGTAAATATTGCCTCTATAATAACTTCTAGTTCTTCAGATGAATCTATAAAAACTTTTGAAAACAATAAATTAAATAAAGGTTTAACAAATTCACAGGTGAATATTTAATTATTGAATAATTTAAAAATGATACAAAGAATAGAAATTAAAAATTAATAGATATTATTTTATTATTTTATATTATTGTTTTATTATATTTTTACAGATTCAGAAAAATAGAATGCCTAAAAGAAAAGAACGTCGAAATGGACCTTCTCAGGATACTAGTGCTGGAGAAGATTCAGGAATCGCGGCTAGTGATGGATCTAATCCTTTTGGTAATGTAAGTGTAAAATTAACTTTATTAATTATAATATTAATTATATTTATTGTAAGCTTTGATATTTTTTTCTGTTCGTTTAGGAAAAGCAATCGATATGGACTGACGAAAAAAAAGCTTGTCAAGGTCTAGTTTGCGAAGGACTTTTATTATTACTTCGTGATGCAGTTAGAGTTTTACCTGATAGTCAAGTTGGATCAGTTTTAAAACATGTTTTAAGAGCTGAACTTTTACTTGTATTGGCTAATAATCCGGATACTAGAGTTCGTACCGCGTTAATTAAGGTACATATAAATTTAAAAAGAAACCAAATTTTATTTTAATGCCATTATTATAATATTATATAAATAATTTTTACAGCTCGTTCAAACATATTTACAACGTGCTAGTGATGAAGAAGTCAATAAATTTATAAAACAAAAATATTTTATACATTTAGCAAACCAAATAGCATTATATCCTGGAAGTGAATCATTAATAATTGCTTTAGAAAATTTGGCTTTGCGAGGTCCAACTTTGGCTGCAATGCCTCCATTATTGGCTATAATAGCTAAAACAACAGCTACTGAATCAAATGTAGCCAAACCAATAATATCATTTATCACTGATATAATTGCAAAGGTACATTATAATGACATTATAATTCCATTTCAGTTATTAAATGATATTAATTAAGATTTTATTTTAGAATCCCACTGCTTTGAGATCGCTTTTAGAACAAGGTTTAATTGAATCTTTAGTACAAGCATTAGTAGGAAGTGCTCATAAAGGTGGTTCTACATCCCTTTATCGAGATATTCATGTACTTCTTGTTACCATTGCTACAAAACTTTTGGAATCTCCAGGAAATCATCAAATGCAGGCTATTCTAGATTTGCATTTAATATTGAACCATATGGAATTGAAAGAAAGATCTCATTGTATTAAAAACAGAACATGTGTGTCAATTGTGAGAGATGCACAAGTAGCACTTTTTGATGGAGAACTCGATGTGCTTACAGCGAAAGTTTCAAATCAATCAAGTTTCCGATTACGTAGTACTGCATCATATTTGGCTTCAGCTTCTCACATAACTTCAGGTAATATTTATATTATAAATAGTAATATTGAAGATAAAATTTATGTAAGTTTCGTTATTTTATTAGTATATTTTTTCAGTTTTCACTACGTCTAGTAATCAAAGTGATGGTTCTCGATCATCTAGTTACACGAGTTTGCATACACCTTCTGTTGTAACTACCCGTGAACCAAGCAAAGGAGAATTACTCGATCGATTTCGCATTATTCTTACGCGTGCTGTCGAATTTATAACTGCAGCGGATGAATCACCTTCTGGAAACGAGTTACAATTAACTAAAAGATTATTATCAATTTTATTACATGGTTTTTGTAATCCATTACAAAAGAGAAATCATTGGAGTAGTGGATGGTCAACTAGACATGTTTTAAGAAAATATACAGCTAAAATAATGGTATGGTTACTTGGACCACATCAGAGTAATAATACTAGGATATTTGCTGTCAGATCACTAATGGAAGAACCAAAAACTCGAGAAATTCTGTCTTCTCTTCTCGAAGTTCATCCACAAGTGAGAGCTTATCGATATTTTTTTTTATATATTTAAACTTAATTTTTTAATAATTATTTTCAATGTATCATTTATATTAGGTAGAACAAAAATTTACTGTATTTTTTTGGGATCTTTTACAACGACGAGACGAAATGCCTAGCGCTGATGCTAGAATATGTGTAGAATTAAAAGAAGCTCTGAATATATGGGATTTGGCAAAAGGTATAGAGCAAGCTAGTCCTGGAATATGGAATGAAGAATTAACTTTGCTTAGAAGAGAACTGATGAGAGATCGAGATATATGGATTGATAATAATCTACCTGCAATTCAAAGGTAAATAGAAAGTGAATACAATGCGGGATATAATATAGTTGTATATTTGATTTTATAAAATAATTTTTTTATTAGAATTGCCAATAGGTTTGATGTACTTGCAAAACAATTAACAGAAAGTGCAATGGCTATAACGCGTACAGTTGTAGAAGAACAAAATCGAGAACGTAAAGTATTAATGGAAAGACTGAAACATTCAAGAGCAATGGAAGCTCAAGCAATTGCTAAATGGAGAGATTTAGCAAGACGTTTGACTCATGAAAGAGCACCTTGGTTCTTTTCAAATAGCTATCCAAAAAATTGGGAATTGGATCCTACAGAAGGTCCTGCCAGAGTTAGAATACGATTACAACGATGTCATTTAAACATTGATCGAAGATTTTTTTTGAATGAATATCAAGATAAACTAGGTTTGGATATTATTCTTTTATTAACTATTTTCATTTTATTTTATTTATTCATATTTATTCGTTTCATTTTTTATTTTAATATATAGATACAGTAGGAGTTGAAGCACCTTTATCTTATTTATTTACGACTAATCGACAAGATGCAAATGCTACAGCATTAATTGAGCGATTGCATACTAGCGAGAGAATACGTAAAATGTCTCAAGCAAAAGTAGTTACACCTAGAGCTGAATTAGCTGGGGAAGTTCTCATTGGTGAAACGTGTCTTTATTTTATTCCTGATAATCCTGATGTTTTGTTGCACACTGATGTACGAAAAGTTTCTAAATGTTCTAACTTTTTTATCATTCTATTTTTTTGTTATTATATGAATATTTAATTAGATATGTTATAATTATAGATAGCTTTAGGTGGTTTGGATTTAGCTATGGTAGGTGGCACAGCTTGGCGTCTCGAGGATATTCGAGAACTGCATAAGAGAAGATATCAATTGCAAGAAAGAGCTATTGAAATATTCCTTATTACTGGAAGAACTTATTTATTAGCATTTAATTCTTCAAAGGTATATTCATTAATATGAAAATATATCTTGTGTAGTTTACAATGATATATTTAATTTATAGGAAAGAGATGAATTTGTAACGGAGTTATCTACTTGTAATTTACCGAGACGAATACCAGGTGATGATTTAAGTGAATCTATTTCATTGTGGAGAAGTGGAGCATTAACAAATTGGGAATATATTACTTGTTTAAATAAATTAGCTGGTCGTTCATATAATGATTTAATGCAATATCCTGTATTTCCATTTGTATTAGCAGATTATATAAGCGAAAAAATTGATTTAAATAATTTAAAAATTTATCGGTAAGTATTATAATAAAGAACATATAATGCAATTAGGAAAATAATTACGAAAATGATATGATCTTTTAGAAATTTCAAACGTCCTATGGCTGTGCAAGATAAAAAGAATGAACAGCATTATATAAATAATTATAACGTAAGAGTGATTTATTTTTTTTAATATATTATTTTATTAATATATTCTATTTTATTTGTTATCTTATAGTATCTTAAGCAAGCCTTATCAGAAGGTTTAAACTTAATTGCATTGAATCAAGAACCATTTCATTATGGATCACATTATAGTAATTCCGGAACAGTGCTCCACTTTTTAGTACGATTACCGCCATTTACTAGCATGTTTTATGTTATCAAGGTAAACTTTATATATATATATATATATATATATATATACTCATATATATATATATATATATATATATATATATATATATATATATATATATATATAGTATAT